AATGCTGATTTTGGTGAAGCAAAATTGACTTTTGAGTAAAAATCGATGTAGATTTGGTTCTACTTATTATAAAAGCTTGGTTATACTTTTTACCTTTTAAGAAAATTATAATCTCTTAAAGTCAATGAAAGATGATTATTTTTAAAAATCTGTAGCATCCAACATTTGGTCATCGTTTGGTACCTTAAATTTTGGAAGTTTGCAAAATTAAAATTGATACATTACATGATTGTAATGTATCAATAATTGCTATGGAATTCTCTAAACAAAAACATCAGACCAAAACAGTCAAACAGTTTGGTGTGTAGATGTACACAGCTGTCTTGTCTCTGCATGTCTGTTGGTGGCCAGACTAACTGTTTAGGTTCTCTCACTTGTTAGCATTATAGATTTTTCTTATCACTGTTTTGAGTTGAACCTCAAAGTGGTACAACTGTTGGAGGAAGTAGTCTGCTGCTGAGTGCTGTGGAGGAAATTGGTCATGTTTTGTCTTCCATATAAGGAGTTGTGCATCTTAGTTGCTTGCATGCACACAGCTGCTGCTCACACCTCACAACTGGTCAGGCTGGTTTGGTCACATAAAGTCAAAAAATAAGAAACCAGTATAGGGAATAAAACTGCAGCAGTTCCTCATCTTTGTCTCCTGGTTTCGTCCTTCAGTTCTGCTGCTGAGCTGTGATGGCTGATGACTTTCTGCTTCTAACCGGACATTCTGCTGATGATTGTAATGTATCAATAATTGCTTTGAATTAGAGACTGAGTTAGACTTTAATGCCTGGGACAGTGGTGGTCGAATGTTTTTGCTGTGGTGTTGTACCATGTTGTGTACTATTCATTTATTCATTATATAGCAACCTTAATACTTGCAGGGTCATGGGGGGGTTTGGTGGCAACGTCTAGTGGTCAGTGTTGACCCTGGACAGGTCACTAGTCCATTGTAGACATTGTATGCCAATTTAAATTAATTGAGTTCATATTATTATTATTATTATTATTATTATTATTATTATACTTCCAGTATAATGACTTTCAATTTCATCATTCTTTCATGGCTGCTCTGCTCTATGACACTCCCCATGATGTCAGAAAGTGACACAAGATCATAATATAAATCCACTGGTCTGCAGCACTGTCACTTAAAGGAGAAAAAGCTTCTTTGTTCAATCCCAAAACTCAATAACTAATTAAAGCTGTTGTATGTAACTTATATATAAAGATTTTTTTACACATTAGGTGAAACTGTCACTTTGTTGTGACAGTGTAACATGAGACAAATAATTTTTTGAGAAGTTTAAGCTCCTTTTCCCAGTGCATTAACCTCTTAAAAGTAAGATAAAAAGTTATGGTTTCATGTATTGGTTGATCTATTACTGTTGACATAAAATATTAATCCAAATTCCCCCCCCCCCCCCAAAAAAAAAGAAAAAAAAAAGAAAAACACAACAAAAGAATTAATTTTTGATTGACGTCTCAGTTTCTAAAATGATACGAATCAAATGAATGATGAACAAACCCAGAATTTATAACGGGTCTCTTGGTTCCTTTACTGAGCAACGCTCAAGGTTTTATTACTGCTTTTTTCATCTCACAGTTTTAATATGACGTGTTAGATTTTTATGCTCATTTGTGCCAAGAAATTGTCAGTAATTTTTATTTTTTATTTTGTCATTTTAGAAAGATGATTGGCGCTTTTCTGATCGCTGTTCTTGCCCTGTTTAAGGGAGAGGAGTCACCCTACAATAGTTCTCCTTGCAAGGAGACTAAAAACACCGAAGCATACAACAATTTTGTTCACAGACACGTTCTGAAGAAGGGATTTAACACCAGCTCAACTGATGACTGGGAAGAGTAAGTTACCCTGAAATAAACAAAGCCATTAATCAACCCAGTGCAAAGGGACCAATTCCAGGATACAAGCTAACAACTTGGATAAGCTTAGATAACACAAAGGAATTAGCAGCATATTTTCTCTGTGATTCTTAACACACCTGACACCTACTGTAAACATACAAAAAAAGCATAAAACTAACGAATAGAAATAAAGTGAAAACAACAAAAACAGAGAATATGAACAAACAACAAACACCACATAGAGTAAAGATCGACTTGCCAAAACTGTTCAGGGCTGCTTGTTTCTGTGATGCTCGTGCATGGCAGTAGTGGGTTGTGAATTTTGTTTAGTTGGTCATGTTAGATTTTTCTGGTGTCCTATATTCACTGACAAAATTTCCTCCTTTAACACAGAGCTAAAAAATATGGTTCCATAAGATAATAGAAAGAAATAAAATCCACTTTGTAGTTAATGCTGTTATTGCTAATAGATGCAGCACTGCTAGTGAAAATGCAATTTCTGAATAATTAATAAAATATTAAATATCTCAACTTGTCATTTTCTCCTCAGATCACCACAGAACCATAGTGGCATATGCAACAGCATACAGCAATAATACCTGTTGATTCCATACATTTTATAATATTACTTATATGTCTATTTAAAAAGCACCTTGACACCATTCTAGACGATGGAGTTATGTGCAACATGGGAAAGTTGTAGGCTAAATACCTACAAATATCTGTATTGTAAAGAATATTTTTGAATTGACAATATCTAATCAATTTACAGTAACAGATTATTTAAATTATGATTGAAAAAAATGACTTCAAGCACAATATTTCTATTTTTACATAAAAAACATTTTCTTTCTTCACCTGCTGAATTTTTTTCAAAGTTATTACAATACTAGATTATTTATTTATTTGCTTATTTTTTGCAGTTACCTGACAGAACAAAATCTCTGTGGAAGACCTCGGCAGTCGTTCATTGACGTAGGAGCTGAAATTCTTTATGAGGAGATCTGCAACGGCTTTGGGGTGCGTCAAGGGGGAGGCAACCTGTGCACAAGTACCTGCAAAGTTCGGCTGCATGACCTCAACGTCACTAAAACTAAGTCTACTACGAGTGGTAAGAATTGCACAGTTTATGGTCTTAGGAGTGAATATAGATATGTGACTGTCGCTTGTGACAAAGTCGGGAGCCAATGCCTTCCTGTTCACTTTAATAGCAGCCAAATCAATATGCCAGAGAATAAAAATGGAACCTGTGAGCCATAAACTAATCTCTGGTTTGACATCTGAATTGTCTTCCTAGTTTGGAAAATATGCTATTTTGCTTTGCTACATCTCTCCATATCCAGCTTTAGTTCAGCCTTTTTCTGCTTTTAGTTAAGTTTAGGTGAGTTTATTTTATAAACACATCAGAAATAGCACATGATCGGTGAAAGACAAAGTACAATTTACAGTTTTTAACATATCAGCGTTGAGAAACTTTGTTGGTTTGATTTTGAGGTGTTAGATCTCAAAAACTAATTTCTTTTGTAAAACTTCTGGGAGTTTTAGTTGTGATTTTAAAGTGAGAAGTTGTTCTTTCCTACCTAATTAGAGTTACCATTAATTTCAATTATTAGACCATATGTCCAGAACATCAAGTCACCATGACAACCAGCTATTTACATGGGACAACTTAAATGTGACTTAAATTTATCTACATCTCTGAATCACATAGATCCTATACATGGGAAATACTTCATATACTTTTCCATCCCTGATAAATATACTGTATATGAAGCAACAATCAAAGTTTTATATTTTACAACCAAAAAATGAAACATTTTTTAAGTGCTGTTAACTTTGTGTCTAACTGATCATTTTGCTAATGATGTTTCCAAAGCTGTGCAGCATGTTGCTTTGTTCTTTGCTTTGCTCCAATAAAATTTCATAATCATCCACTCATTCTAAGTTTGCTTGTCATTCACATTTATTTTCTTTCATAACCTCCATTATCATTCCGTGTCTTTTCTTTTCAAGTCCCGGTTTTTCTTTTTTTTTTTTTTTTTTTTTGAGAGAAAAGTCTAAAGAGATCAAAACAATGAAGTTAAAATTTGGAGCATAAACATTATGGCACATATTGCAATATTTAAGGAACATATAGTGGGTGAAGAAAGAATCAACAAATATAGTCATATGGTTTCCTCAATCTGTTCCCTGTGGATGGGACAGTTTGTGTTCTACCAGTTGAAAACATCAATGCAGGATAGTTTGGGCTGACTTCTGAAGTTAATTTAGATCTATGGCTCTAATGGTATTCATATTCTCCCATGTGGGCCCCATTGAGCCAACAGCCATCTTTGAATTTAACCTTTAACAACCATTACAGTGCTGTCACTCTACGATGGCACAGGATGTAACACAATTTACAAAAAACAGTGGAGGTCAATAATTAAGGTCAATTATTCATTTTTCCATTTTTTTCCACTTCTGGGTTTCCAAACCTAAAACACAAACACACCCCTTTATAGCTAAAAAAACAAAACATCAAAATTAGTAATTGTAATGTTTTTTACTAAAAACTACAATTATTTACAAAAAACTACAGTAAGTGTAGTTTTTAGTAAAGACTATACTTACTAAACTCTTGCCGGCCACAAAAACAACAAAGAAATTAATGAAAAGACAATGACACAGAACCCCTACCTAACTCCCCATCCAAGCTTTGCACCATACAGAAGTTTAAATGTCATAAATGAGCCAAAACTGAATTTACAACCACACAGAGCGCTCAGTTCAGAGTCAACAATTATTTTTTTTGAAGAACACTACAGGAAACCAACGGGACGCAGCACTGGATGGCTGAAGCTTTTATTCAGTCCACTGATGAGGGGGAAGTGGCTCCAGGTGTGACAACAGGCCTGTGAATGAAAAGGAGCAAAGGTTGTTGTAAAGTAGTTTAGGCACAAGGGTCTGAAGGTGAACAGAAAATCAGTACCAGCCACTGGTTTCAGTTTCTTCAAATGACTTTTTATTCATTCTTTTCACCAACTTCTCTCCTGAGCATCCAGAGGCTCACTGTTTTTATATCCAATTGGCACCACACCTGTGCTTGATTGGACACAGCCACAATGGAACAGGTCAAAAACAAAATCTAAACAGAGAGACACTAAAATTACTAATCTAATTTACAAACTCCTACATAATGAAGTTGTCTGCAAAATAAATCACATAATACAAGATAACTCAAAAGGTTAGTTCAAAGAAAAAACAAACAAAGCAATACACAAAAGAAAAACCCTCTAATTGGTAGAACCCAGCAAGGTAATCACTGACATCATCCAGCCATTTAAGCAGGAAGTACTGGGCCGGCCGCTCCCATACTCCTGCCCTGCTGCAGATCTACAAGGACAAATGATGGTGAGTACAAAGGAAAACAAATACCTTAATAAATATACCTTGAAAAAAATTCAACCTGTAGTCCAGAAATAGTAACTTTAACCTAAACATGATAGTAAGTGAAGCAAAATTGCAATGTTTAAATTAATCATTATAACCAAGCATAGAAAGTAAGTGAATCAGAACAAATAAGGGACAAGTGGTGAACACAAACTGAGCCACTTCGTCACAGTTGTCCTGCAGGATGAGGACTCATAGAGGTCAGTGGATGCAACATTAAGGAATGACCAACTTATTTACGGGGTAAACTATTGTTTCTGACTCACAAATGTATTCAAGTCGAGGATAAACTTTGTGGAAGAGGGAACTGTTTGTCCTCACAAAAGAACTGCTGCAACCCTGGAAGCTGTAGCGGTTTCCTATATGGGCGACACATTGCATGAATAAGTCATAAGCCCAAACTCTATTGAGAGACGGGAAGCTCAATTCATGGCAGTGGCAGGTAGTAGTGGGACGTCTTGGCCACTAGGGTGACAAAGGTGTCATGGCTGCTGCTGCTGTTTTGGGGAATTCTGATGTCAGTTTTTAGGAAGCTTTAGGAAACTTATTAGTATTTTTCTTTTTCATACATAAACATGCTACATATATATATATATATATATATATATATATATATATATATGTGTGTGTGTATAGTACACTTACTATACACACGCACTTACAATTGTTTGTCATTATTATTTTTGAAATGTCATTAGTTGTTAAACCGTAGAAGACCTGCAATATTTTGACTGTCAGCTGTGGCAGATTCAATATGAATGTTTATTTTAATCATATCAATTAAACAACAATACACATTTACATACATACAGTCACCACTGATTTGCTGACAACTGACAAAATAATAAAGGCGGTCTGATCACCTTTTTCCATGACTAAAAGTATGTTGTGTGATAAATTTGAATTGATAAAGAAAAAAAAGTTATCTGAGTATTTCATAACCTGCTTTGGCACAAGCTACACCTGACATGTTACAGTCTGTGTACATATTTTTCTTCTGAGGATTTCTTTAAAATATTTTCTAAAAGTGCTTTTATATATATTTTTTCATCATAGGTGTTTTATTTTCAGTAAAGATTAGAAGGATGTCTTCTAGTGTTTTTAATGTCTTGTGTGTGTATTCTAAGGAAAAAATTCATTGTGGTTTCACTCTGACTCAAAGACGCCTGACATCTGTTCTGTGTCAACAGCTGATGAAAGGGAGGTTGTGTGAATTGGCAGCAGATGAGGTGGCATTCTGGGAAGGAGTCACCTATGAGGAGGAGTCAGGATGGAGTGAGGTGGAGACCACAAGTTCCCCCAGTCAGCAGCTCAGTGACCTCAGGTCTACACTACAGGAGAGATGTCGGGCCTGTCCTGAACGCAGCGCAATGTTGGATCATGTTTGTGCAAATAAACACAGCCAGATATTTTTGCTAAAGAAGTTTGAACAGCTGTGCAGCATGTTGCTTTGTTCTTTGCTTTACTCCAATAAAGATCTAATAAAGTTCATAATCCTACGTTCATTCTAAATTCTGTTGTCATTCACATTGATTTATATTTTCATATATAAATATGAAAATATTATATATGAAATATTAATATATTAATTAATATTAATATCAAGATCCATTTTTATTCTGCGTCTTTGTTCTCCTCTCAACTCACAGTCATAAAAGCAGGTCTTAAATTTAGGAGATTTTACAACTTAATAAAAACTATCTTTAGAAATGGCTTCAAATCACACAGTTCACATGCAGCAACATAACAGATCAGTTCAATGTGGTGCTCCTGAAGTTATTAATGTTTGCTTGGCAGTTGATTCTTATTAAATTGCAACAATTTCTACCAGGTTCTTTAATCCAGAACCAGCTGACCAGCATCTTTATCACTAGGAACAATATTTTTGGACAAATATTGGGAAGAACATCTATTATTTGTTTGAAATGTAGCGAAGGTGAATGGTTTGATGTTTTTCTTAGAATGAAAAGTATGGGATCAGTTTTTTGAGGTGATCGAAGATGAAAATCCTCAACTAAAGAACTAATTCTAAAGAAACAATATTTTGTACCCCTTTCACAAAATCAGCAGGAATTAAATTCATGACACAATTTTTGTTACAAAATCTTCCACATTCTTACTGAGTTTCTCTGATATTTCTTGGTTCTACATGTAAATGCTTCAACATTCTCCTGTCGCTCCTGGATGTCAGAACGCTGAAGCTTGCAACAGTTTGTGGGAAAAGCTCTTCAAGTTTATCAAGCGCCATTTTAAAGCAATTAATCACTGCAAATGCTGCATTGCTTTCTATTTTACTGATTACTATAATGATTTCTTTGTAGTAATCAGGAGAACCAGGAAGTGATTTACCAGAACACAGTGGAACCTCACAGAGAGGAGAGAGAATCATTCACATGGATAACATGCAAAGCATAGACCCAAGTCTCACTACTGCTTACAGAAAGCGCAGGAACACCTACTCAACAGACGAGGGAGCCAACTCCCCAGTGATTGGACGTGCATGAAATAAACAAAATTCACAGTTGCACCTGCTTTTGATTCATAAGTGGAACATATTATGTAAAACGATACATTATGCTTTACATAGTGTGCTAATAAATTTGACTAGCACAGACTTGTTATAGCAATTCTAAAACTAACAAAATAACATAAGCTGAAACTGAGAAAACATTTTCATTAACTGAAATACATAAAAACGGTAATAAATGGAGAAAAATATAACTAACTTAAACATACTCAATTTACAGATATGATATCCTTTGTTTTTGTGTTTATTTATTCACCTTTCGAACTGATGTGATTGATTTCCCCCCCCCCTACATAGGCTCTTTACTCAGCTGTAGGCAAGTCATGACTCCCCCTGGTGGCGTTTATGTTTTTAGATGTGCCAAAGGTATAAAACACTGGAATGAAATGACTTAATTCCCTCCTTCTTGTGTAGATAAGATCTCCAGAGTCCTGCTAATGACCTAATTATTCTACTCAGGTGTGGTGCAGCAGAGGCACATCTAAAAGTTGCAGGGCAGTGGCCCTCCAGGACTGCAGTTTGACACCTGTGCTGTAGATAGGCCTGCAGGTATAATACACTAATCAGCTAATCTGAATAGTTTTCATTATGTATGGATCAACAGTTTCTATAAGACAATATGAAACATGTCAGGTCATTTGAATCAGCCATGATGACACCATGTAGCATCACTTTAGGGTTTGATTTTAACTGTGCGACACTTTTGGCTGTTTGTTTTTAAGACCATATAGGTTAGCCTGTTTTCTCCTTAAATAATAAATAGTTTGATTTAAAAACTGTTTGTGTTTATTTTTGTCTTTAATATTCAAACTGGTTTGATGTTTTGAAACACTTAAGTATGACAATCGTGCAAATCAGGAAGAGGAAGAAAACTTCTTCACGCCGCTGTGGTTTGATCACCACCAGGTTTGACTAGCGGTGTTGGTGACAGAGTTGTGTGACATGTACTGGACTAAGATCTGATTTCAACAG